GGTGGGGCCTCGGACGGAGGGCGGGGGAGCGCGGAGGCGCTGGCGGCGGCGGCGAACAAAGAGGCGGCGAGCGCGGGCGGCCGAGCGGAGCCGAGCGCAGCCGAGCCGGGCCGAGCCGGGCCGGGCCGGGCCCAGGAGAGCGCTGGCGATGCGGGAGGCCAGGTAGGGGTCGGCTGGCCCCTGAACCCCGCGCTGGGCCAGCGAGGAAGCCCCGCGGCCGCCGCGCGCCCGAGGCCGGCCCGCAATGGCCGGGGTCAGCTACGCGGCGCCCTGGTGGGTGAACCTCCTGCACCGGCTGCCCCACTTCAACCTGCGCTGGGAGACCACCAGCAGCCAGTTCCGGCCCGAGGACACCGACTACCAGCAGGTGACGCGGGACCCCGGGTCGGGGGTCGGGACCCCGGGTCACGGCCCCCTCCTTACGAAGGTCTGAAGACCCTCCGTCCCCCACCGAGGGTCACGGCCTCAGTCTTTAACTAGGGTCGTGGGCCCCCCGCCCCAAGGGTTGCTGACCCCTCAATTTTTGGGGTCTAAGGACGTCCCCACCTCCCATGGACGTTCACGGGCCCCCTCCTCGTCTTGGGTCATGCTTTCTTCTGGAGGGTCATGAGGCTCCCCTCCTCCAGAGTCTGAGACCCTCATGCCCCTCCAGGGTCCATGGCCTTCCTGCAGTTTCTAGCCTTCTCTGGTTTCACGAAGGACCTCCTTTCTGGGGTTATGTGGACCGCCTCCCTCCCCTCTGCGGAGCCCCCTGCCAGCTGTCAGCTCCAGTCCAGGCCCCTGTCCCTCACCCAGAGCAGTCCAGGGAGCCCCCTACCCAGAGGAACCCAGGGCCCTGAGACCAAGGTGATGCTGAGAGGACTGGTTCAGCTAGGAGGGGATTCCTTGCCCTCTGTCCCCAGGTGGAGCAGCCTTTTTGGTGGGTGAGTGGGCCATGCAAGTGCCAGCTCTCCCTGGCCAGTAATAACCTTTGCTGGGCAGCCAGGCTGTGGGATGTACACAAGGTGCCCTATGCACTGTGGTGACACCTGGCCTTCCCAGAGACCCAGCTGCCTGTGGCCCCTGATGGAGGGAGGCCTGCCCACAGGAACACCAGGTGGGCCTCAGTCCGGGAGGCTGGAAAAGGGCTGAGCCTGGGCAGAGGTGGGGGGCAGTGGCAGCCATTTGTTGCCCTCTCCCAGGTGACCAGACTCTTTGCGTAGGACCCGGGGCCTGGGGCTATGCCAAGCCCCAGCGCCACCCCTATCACTGAACCAGTCATTTAAGTGCAAGGCAGGGGACCAGACATTTCCTTCCTGCCTGGGGATCAGGATTTTGGAAGCCCCCTGACCAGAGTGCCTCTCTGGTGGTCATTGCAGAGCCCTGGGGTGGGGTGGAAATGGCTTTGCTTGTCCAGATGGCCTGGGGTCCGGTGTTCATGGACCATGTCACACCTCGGCTATTCAAAACTGTCCTGTGTGGCTTCCCTTATCCAGAGAAGGGAGAACAAGAAGCAGTGAGTGAGTGAGGGCACTCTGGGCACCCCAGCTGTGCAGAGGAGCCCGACCCTTAGCCTCAGTGTTCTCCTGGTGCCCACTCCCAAGCCCTGCTGATCAGTTCCTGAGCAGATCAGAAAGGGGGTGAGGGATGGGCCCAGGCACGCCCAGAGACAGCAGGATTCTTATAAAACCCAACACCCACATTCTAGAAGTCCAGCGCCAGGGGGCCGCCAGTGTGGGGGCTCTGCAGGAACTTCCCAGTGTGCTGGCCCCATCACACATGCCCCCAGCCTCTGCAGGCCAGGAGCTGGGCTTTGTTCTAGGAAGTTCTTTGCCACTTATCAGTTCTGAAGCTCCAGGGCAACCGCCAGGGCACCTGGGTGTCTGTGAGCCTCACAGAACTTCCCTGCTGCCCAGGGCTGCCACCTGCCCTCCAGGGCACCTAGGACACATGGTGGGGAGTGAGCAGGGGCCTACGCTGCAGCCTGGGAGGCTCGGGAGTGGTGGGCAGGCCCAGGGACCAGTAGTGGCCTGGCCTCCCACAGGGCCCTTGTACCCTCAGAGGTCCTTGGTCCCTGCCCCAGACCCCTATAAGCACTGCTCCCTCCTCTGCTGTGGGAGGGCTCTGACTCACCCTCCTGCCTTCTCTCCAAGGAGCAGAATTAGCCACGGAATAATTCACACAGTGTGGAAACCAGCCTGTCTCTGTTCCCCTGCTGCCTCCGTGCCTTGCTGGGGGCTGTGGAGTGAACCAGACCTGGGCATGCTTCCTGCCTCTGTGCTGTGCTTTTGGGCAAGCCCTTGACCTCTCTGAGTCTTTCCTACCTCATCCTGAAGTCTGTGCTTGCGTACCTTTGCACAGTTCCTGTGTTGATGCAAGGGCCCGGTGCTCCTGCTCCATGTCGGGTGTGCAGCAGACAGAGCTCCTTCCTGGGTGGGCAGGCAATGGGTCGGCATGGGCTGTGGCCTTGGGCTCCATCCTGCCTCCCCTGATGGAGCATTCTTAGCTGTCCAGGGGCAGTGATCCCATCCCACATACCCTTGGTGGGTGGCGGACCCCTTGTCCTCCTGACCTAGGGTACTCCTTCATGGCCTGGGAGCCTGTCTGTGTTGGCTCCCAACCTGGACTGCAGGCTGGGCCCAATCCCTGCCTGGTGGGCTGCCCAGGGCAGAGGTGGGGCCTGGCTGAGTCCAGGGCAGTGGGGGTGTATGTGGCATGGGAGACTAGCTTTTGTCCTTCTTTGCTATTCCTGCCTCACCGTCTGTTGTTGGGAGCCCTGGTGGAACCCCCTGGAAAACCCTGTGGGCCAGGCCTGTTTGGGGCACTGTTTGGGGCTATCTATTACCAGCCCTTTCTCACACCAGCCTGGAAGGTGGGGAACATTACCTCCATTGTACAGACTAGCAAACCGTACAGTCAAAAAGGAGACGGGCTCAGAAACACATAGTGAGTAGTCAGTAGGGCCAGAATCCTGCTACAGAACTCTTGCCCCTGTGACACTAGGAGCCAGAGTCGGCCCCAGGGTCAGGGGCTTCCTGGACACCCCCCCTGCAGGGGAGTTAGGGATTAGGAGCTGATGGGGGTGTTCTGAGGGCTCCCAGAGCCCTGACTGGCCTTACACTGGGGGGCTTTAGAACCTCTGCAAGAGCAAGAGTAGGATTTCATATCCTAAAGGTTTGCAGTTCCTCCTGGGACTGAAGGTCTCCAGCTTCATATTCCCAAGGCCTTTGTCCTGGAGAGCAGGGGCTGCGGGGCCACGTACCTGTCTCTTGGGGGCCCGTGACATCTGTGGGTGGGCAGACCACAGGGAGAGCTGCTGCAGGTTCTGTGGGGGTCTGATAGGGTCTGT